AAATGTCATGTGAAAGCCACCAGAGAAAGGATTGAACAGCCATGGGGACGGACAGACACAAAAGGATGATACCTATGATATTTAATATATGTGGATTCATCTATAAGAATTCGATCACAAATTTTCTTTGATTAACCTCTGTGATACCTGCTATAGATTTTGAAGGGAATTAATTCTTCCAATGAAAGCGGACTTGGAATATCTTGAATGTAAAGAAAAGAACCAGTGAATTGAAAATCAATACTAAATCATATAATCCATATATTTTTATATGTAAAACACGTCTAAAGACTAAAATTAATGCAATACTAATCTCTCTGATCCCATAAAAAAATAAGTCATTAGCAACCTTGAATGCTTCGATTGAGTTTGAATGGCATTTCATTTTGCCATTAATTAACAATGTTCTGGATGCAAACCAAATCTTAAACATTAGTACATTGAAATCAAGCAAATTCTTCCCTTTCCCTTTCATTTTGTGATCTAGTGAATAAAAGACAATGTAAAAAACAGAGAAGGCATTGCTATCCTGACATTATTTTCTTAATTAACCATTACATGATATGTGAAAATTATGTTTGTGCTTTCAATATAAAATTTGTATCTAATCTAAAACCAATTGATAATAAGTTGATTGATTTTTATTGTATTTAACAAACAAATTTCTTACTTCTGCCTGCATATAAAATGATGTGTTGAGTTAAAAAACCTCATATCAAATGTATAACAAAAAAATTTACGAGTTAAATACAAAAAAAATTACTTTATCTATTATCATTTAATTTTAAATTATATATAAATTTTATATTGAATTCACATTAACAATTTTTCATATGATACATAACAGAATGGATAGTGAATCTTGGAACATTTTAGATGAGAAGAAAGGAACCCGAATCTTCCCATGATGCCTTGAGTTCATAACAAGGAATTAATGTCTTAAAAAGTCAAAAGAAAACAAAAAAAAGGCTCTCCCAACCAAAAAAAAAAAAAACGTTCTCCCTTTTATATATCACCACTTCATCAATCCAATTCCATCAGCAACAGAATTAAGCAGTTGGATCACCACCTTAGTCAGTTCTCAGACAAGACAAAGCACAATGCCTCAAACAACTCCGCAGCAGCCACGAAAACCATTCAACCGCGGACACTGCTTCCTTGTCTTAATTTCCATCATCGTCGTCCTTGGTCTAGTTGCCCTCTTCACCTGGCTAGCCCTCCGCCCGAAAAAACCTGTTTACTCCATTGAAAGTGGCAGCCTTTCTGACTTCAACTTAAATGACATCCATCTCAATTCCACCTTCTATTTCACCATCCGGACGCACAACCCCAACCACCGAGTCTCCATATACTATGATGCAATTAATTCATCGGTGACCCACCACAACCAGAGCATCGCGTTCTCCACAATCCCACGATTCTTTCACCGGCGCCGGAATGTGACCGATCTCACGCCCAAGTTCGTGGCGAGGGATGTGGCTCTGTCCCACGCCAATGCCGCCGACCTTAAGCAAGAGAGTAGAACCGGGCAAGTTGAGCTGGAAGTTCATGTCACTGCAAGGATTCGGTTCAAGGCGGGTGTGTTTAAGTCGCGCCATCGGACTCTCAAAGTGGTTTGTGTTCCGGTGATGGTGCCCACTACTAA